CATCCTCTTGGCCTTCAAAACCAGATAGAAACTGATATTGGCACAATAGTTCAGGTACAGATGATACTTGGTCTGCAAATAGCGACTGCCCTTGCCCTGGGGGATAGTGCCGTCTTTCACCATTTGCAGCAGCGGGTGCAGCTCATCCTTGATCTCCATGAGCTTCACCTCAAAGTCCTCCATCAGCTGCAGCAGCTCTGGGGACTCCTGCTTCAGCAGCTTCAGCTGCTCCTTCTTGGAAAGGGCCTGCAGATCCTTATCAATCTTCTGCCCCTTGCTATCCTGGGTTTTCTGCTGCTCAGCCAGGTAGCCCTGGATCATATCGAGACCATAATCGTCCTCCCCCAAATCCCGCACCAACCGTCTCTGAATGACTTGAGCCTCCTGCTCCTCTTCCTCCTCTTCAGCATCGATTTCTTGCTGGCTCCGCTTGCCCTTGGCCTGGGCATCACTCCCATAGTCCGTGTCATAGTAGAGCTGCTTGCGCTGGCCCCAGGAGAGCTCATGGGGGAGCTTGGCCTCTGGATGGCGCTCCTCCAAGTCGCTTTCCATGGAAAGCTCCCCCTCTTCATCCTCAACAGCATTTTCATCTTCCTCACCTCCTTCCTCTTCTCCATCCTCCAGATCATTTTCATCTTCCTCACCTTCTTCCTCTTCCCCATCCTCATCCTCCTCTGCGCTGTACTCCACAAAGGGATTCCGGTCCTGTATCTCGTCCTCCTCCTCATCCTCGTCCTCCTCCTCGCTGTCCTCGGGCAGCTGCAGACCCAGCACCTCCTCCTCCTCCTCTTCCTCGCTGTCGCCGGCCTCGTCGCCGCTGTCCAGGGCGGCCATCACGGTGCGGAACTGCTCCTCGTGGAAGCGCTCCACGTCGTCCGCCAGCTCCTCGGGGCCGGCGCGGGGCCCGGGCACGTCGGCGGCCTCATCGGCGGGCTCGGGGGACTCGGCCCGCGGCCGCAGGACGGTGCCGCGCCGGGTCCGCATGGCTGCAGCACCTCCACAGCCCCGGCCGCGCTTCTCCTTCCGCTGCGTCCCTTCCGCTCGCCCGCAGCCCTTCCTTCCTGTGCCGCGCCCCCGGGACAGGGGATGTCCCGGGCAGCCCGCGGGGAGGAGCCTTTCTGCCGTGGCCGCTCTCTGCGGGCAGTGCTGCCACGTGGAACAAAAGACAAAAAGCCTTTTGTTTCGTCCTCAGGGTTTCTTCTTCCTCTACAAATCCAGCCAGTGCAGCTGCTGTCGGTGCGGTCATCTTAGAGCAGCGAGGAAAAAAACAGCTGGAAAATACACCTGACACCTGTGCCTTTGTAACCAAAACCTGGTACTCAGTTCCCTACGACCAGATCCAACTCGGAGAGAAGCAGAAGTATTTGCAAACCTCCCTGGACGCCTCCGAGGTTTAAATACGAACTCTTCAGAGCCTTTCCCGTCATGGAATCGCACTTTCACCGGGATACAGGCAGCTCCCGGCAAGAGCCAGCCCCGTTCCCGGGGGCTGCGGGGCAGCTTCAGCCTGCACAGCTCGGCAGCTGCTGCCTCAGCACCTCTGCACTCCTTCTATCCCCTTATACCAAGACATCCCTGCATCCCAGAAACGGAACAATTCTCATTTTTTCAACACCTGGGGACTCCTCACTAGCAGGGCTTTTAATGCAGTCTCTACTTACTCGCGTCTGCATTGTCATGCTGTTTTTGTGGGTCTGTCATCCATGACAGAGCAGCAGCCCAGCCTCCCACCCTTCCCAAGGGAAAATGGCATTAATTCTGAGCCACAGGGAAGCAGTCTGCTTTTCTGAGCTGCAGGCAGCCCTGCCACAAGAACAGAGTCATCACACACAGGAACCAGTGTAGTCCAAGCTGAGAAACCCAGAGCCTGATAAATGAGGCATGCACACGCCCCAAAAAGAGCAGCTCTGCATACAAGTACAGGGGCTTTTTTCTCACCACACAACAGGTGCAGGTGTATTTATAAATGCTCCTGTATTTATAAATTTATTCCACCTTTTTGTGGAAAAAACCCCAGACCAAGCAGATATTCAAATTAGCTCAAACAGAATGGGGTGCACAGCTTTACTCACTTTTTGGTGATTCATTTGGATTCTGATTGATCGGATGGCAAACAGGTCTCAGTTTTGACTTTCTGACACACTCACCCTCTTCACATGGTCACCTCCAGGTCAAAACTTTGTTGCATAGAGTTTTTGCCTCAGACCACTTTTCCAAATCCATCCCTGCCAGCTTTCAGCCATTGCCTCCCTGGATACAGGCCTGTAGAAGAAAGAGCAACAAGAGTAACTTTGGTCTGAAGACACACAGCATTCATTACGTTTGCTCCCTATACCTCAGTGGAAAACCTCACTTGATATTTGGCCACTAAATACAACTGTCCTGGGGGACAAGGGGCAGCCTTGTCATCTGGCTGCTCAATCCTGCTGGATTTTTGTGTGAATCCATGCAGAGATATCTGCAGCCAGTTCCTGCCAGGTGAAAATTCCAGGTAGCTTTTGCATCCGTGACTTAGACAAGCCCAGGCCTTTCTCATGTCCCTGACCTTGAGAGTTTCCACCTTAAGTGCCCTAATTTTTTTCAAGTCTGCCCTTTCAAAAATTAACATACTAACTTCCACTTGGACTCTCTCGGATTTAAATAGAATTGACATGTCTCCCAACCCACAGTTAATTTCCAAGAGCAGCAAACAACGTGTCTATTCACACCTTCTCCAGGACTTAGTGAAAACATCAGCCACTTGTGGTGAAGCTGGAGATGATTTCAGCAGGAGTTAGTTGATTCAGTCAACCAGGAGCTGCTCAAGCCAAACCAGTTTGCTGTAAGCACTGTGGAATCGCTGCTACCAAGCCAACAATCATGTGCTGCTGCTGTTCTGTTTAGATGCACCATTCTGTTGGTTCTCAAGTGAGAAAGGAGGAGCAAAGAGCAGAGCAGGGCAGACTGCTCATGGATGGGCTGCTTTGTGCAGAGGCTCTGTGCCTTGGTGCTGTCCAACTCCCTCAGCACAACAATTTCATCTCACTTCACTCAGGCACCTCCCAGCTTCTGACCTGGAAAATCCTACTTCAGCATGTCCAAGGCCAACTGGAAGCACAGGACATGAAGAGAGACTGAAACCAGAGGGCTAGTTCCAACTCTCAATTATTCCACCTCTAAACTCTGCCCTGCAGGGAGGTTGGGAGTCCAGCTCCCCATGCAGCCCATTGCCAATGGCCTGCTCTCCCAGATAAAATTCCAGAATTCATCCAGTAAAACAGTGGTAATCCATAAAAATAACAGTCCATAACATAAACCTTCCTTTCAAGAGCTTGTGATCTAGCTAGAAATCCCCAGAGACCTGCAGGTGGCTGAAGGGACTGAAAATAGCTCTGGTGTCATCATATCCAGACCAAGGGGCTGTACACACACGGGTAGATTTAGCAACCGAAATCCAGATACGCTGAGCACCAGCAGCCAGGGAAAACCACCATGGTGAACAGAGACACACAGCTAGAATGCTGCTCTGTCTCTGCCCTGACAATTGAAAATCTTCTCCCTGAATCTTCCCACTGCCATATTTTTGTTAGTGCAGTTAGGCAAAACAGATCAGAGCCAGTGTCCCTTGCATGTTCTCTATCCTGGTGCTGGTATCCTCTCTTCTTGTATAATTCTAGAGAAATTCTTACAAAAACGGCTGACTAAAACAAGCAGTTCTTTTAGACAGACACCCCTGCCAGCAATGGTGAGGCAGATTTATTTTCTACCTTCTGCCAAAAACGGGGCACAGAGAACATTTTGCCCCTCTCTCAGAGAGAGGGCTGCATAAACTCTAAGCAATGCTTTCTGGGATGGGGAAAGGAAACAACCCCACATTTTTTCTCTGCTACAAGAACACAAGTTTTGTAAAGAGCTGTGGAAGAACCCAATGCCCTGCAAGTAGCTGGCTGTGACCCATCACCCCCCACAAAGTCCCACGCTCCCCTTGCACATGAGCACTGCTGATGCAACCTGAAAGCTTATTGCACCATGCAGCTGCAGGGTGAGGGGTTTGTACTTGGGGAAAAAGCTCAGGGCACACAGCCAAGGACTTGGAACAGTTCTGGGCTTAGGGACCCAGCCAGCAGGGTCTGGGAAAAGGGAGACATCCTCCAAGGTGACAGGAACAAGGATGCTTGGCAGCATTGCCAAAAGAGTTCAGCCTCTTGAAGAAGCCTGGCAAGAGCAACCAGGCCCTTGCTAAGCTTGGGCTTTCCTTAAGAAGTGGCTTTTTCTTTTTTTTTTCTTTTCGTTTTTTTTGGCAAGACACATGCAAGTGCTACAGAGACAGCTCTGGCCATTATAGGCTACATTTGCTGTTCAGAAATTACACAAATTATCCCAAGTCTAGGACCAAAAATAAAAATCCCAGGCCCTCTCCAGTACCACCCTCCTTCAGGAAAAGTCTGCATGCCCAACACCCCAGGGCTTTCCTGGCACCTCAGGACCCCTCATAAGCCACAAGTCCCATTCACGAGAAGATGAACTCCTCAATGCAGTGGGCAGAGCTGCAGTGGCTGTACCTCTTTCACCCCTGCTCTGCCACCTTTCCTGTTTTTACTGCAGGCTCTCTGGGGGCAGGTCCAGCCTTTAATTCAGGTTTGCACACAGCTGGTCCAAACAGGATTTGATGCAGTTTTTTAATAGGACTCAAGGGATTTTAAAGTGTGATTTCTCAAAATTAGGAGCCAGAGCTGTGGCTCTAAGACGTTCTCACCTTCCACCAGCCCTGATGGCACCAATCCCCTCAGGGCTGGGGTGGTTTTGCACATCCCTGTACTCAGCAGCTCTGTTGCCTGTTGCTGAAGAACAGAAAAAAGCACAGTACAAGTGCAACCCCCTGCTCCCCTCCGAAAGCCAGAGGTCTTGGTGCATTAACACACCTGGTTTCAGTCCCCAGCCACATTTTCCAGTATTGGCTGGGCTGTTTATTTTAGGAAACCAATTTGCACACGCCCTTATAGGCAGAGTCAGGCTCTCCACTCACATTCTTCAAAAGAAGGGAAGGCAAGATGAAGAGCTCTTTGTTGCTGTGTGTTGCCTTGGCCATCTCCTCGGGGATCATCCTTGTGGCAGGTAGGTGAGCAATGAAGAGATGGAAAACTGGGATTAAGACATCAATGGCAGGTTTTGTGTCATTTAGCCTGAATTATTCTAACAGTCAGAGGTCAAACCTCAAAGCCTGCTCAAGCAGCCATGCTTCAGTGGTGCTTGGACACCTCAGGGTGTTTCTGCATCAGAGCAGTGTGGTTTTAATTGCTGCCTGGAGGATCAAGTGATGACTAGCTCCAAATTTAAGACTTGATAATTAGCCATTTTTTATCAGGTTTCTGAAGCAATAAGCTGCAGTCCTATAGAGAGCTTACCTGCTGGATCTAAAGGCTTCCAAAATCTTCCTGGTGATCCTGCCATACAGCCAACTCATTCTGATTAAACTGTAGCTTATCATGTAACTCCACTGAAGTTCTTGGAAACTCTTGGTTCCAGCTGAGCTCAGCCTGTGCTCCCAGCACACTCCTCAGTGTGGGTCTCAGGTCTCCAGCCAGTCTGAATCCATGCAGCTCATGGTGGATCTGCTGTGCAGGATGCAATTGGTGCTCAGGGATAATCGCCCCAACGGCACCAAGAGCTGCAGCCCTGCATTTCCTGCAGCTTTTGGAAGAGGGCATCTTATTGCTTACCCCAGACAATTCTCCTGGGCTTCACAGGCTATCAAAGGACAGTGCAGTACTGGAAGGTGAGAAATTTTGTCCAAAACACAGCCACATAAGCATTGAGGAGGGAGAGAACAGCGTAGTGCAGTAACTCAGGCACCAGGGAATCCAACCTGGGGACATTTACAACAGCATTAGCAAATTTTGCATTTAAATACCTTCTCCCCAGGGGACTTCACTAGGTGATGCATGGAGATACTGCAGATAAAATCACATTTTTTTAGCATTGTCATCTTAAATGAAAAATTGATGGAGTACCAGTAACTTGAACAGTGAAGCCAAGAGCATAACACAAAGAATTAAATCAGGGCAGTATTTTTAGAGCAGTCAAAAAAACCTGCATATGCATAAGATTGTGTTAATCTAATTTTAGAATTAAAGCCTGCTCTGAGAGGTTTTGGGACAACCTGAAAGCCAATAGGATCTGACTTGAACATTGGCTTTGGATGAAGGGTTTGGAAAGAACTGCACACAGTGTTATGTGGTATGCAGCACCGACAGCAGAGGAAGAGTTGTGTGATGGACAAAAAGTCAGAGACTTCCCTTGAGCCAAAAGAGAGGTCAAGACAAGGAGCCAGGGAGTAGAGAGGCTTTTCTGGGGGCTTCTGCATCAGAGAGAAGAGCTGATGTGCAATGATGAGTTGGCAGAGAAGAAGCTTGGAGAGGAAGCTAGCAAAGTGATTTCCCTCCCAAGCTAGGAACTCCATAGAGAATCTTATCCAGCAGGTATACTGCTGCCAAGGGGCACAGAAACAGCACTTGTAACCAGCAGGTCAACTCTAGGGTCACTGAGGCATCATTTCACACAGTATTGGTACCTTTTCTACAGTCACTGTGCCTGTAACAATCTCAGAAAGGCTGGAATGGAAGCAGATGAGACCAGGATATTTATAGGGGAAGGAAGGACCAAAGCTTTAAAATCCAAGTAACTCCAAAATTTTTTATAGACATGACTAACTCAGCCTTTTTCTGCCTGTTTCTTCCTTTTCTCTATGATTAAACTAAGGGACAAGCAGAGCAGGCAAGTCCCCAGAACTCAGAGATCCCTCTGAGCCCAAAACAAACTGCCCCCATATGACAAAAATCACTGGGTCTGGTACTTCTAAGGAGACTGAAGGTGCTGTAGCAAGAATGATGCTGCCAAGTGATGGCTGTGAACTTGATTTCAGCAGAAATAGAAATACAGAGGGATGTAAAAACAACACATAAAAGCAGGCTGGCTTCTTATGGGGGCAGAGAACCGAAGATCTGGGTTGGGGAAAACAAAGCAGCAAAGAAGGAACTATTTCAAATCCATCTGCTTGTAGTAAGGGAACATTGCACAACATCAGCAACAGCCCAAAAGCCTCTGAGTGACACCTGGCATGTTTTAGGCTGCTTTGACTCAGTTTCATATCGAGTAGCATGCCACAAGCAGCAGTTTGGAGAGGTAAACCAGAACTGGAATTTTCCCTGCAAACCACAAGCATCACCAGGGCCACCTGCCTTTCGCTGCCACATCAGGGGCCGCCTCCTTGCTGAGTCCTCCTGTGCTTTTTGGCAGCTGTTCCCCCAGGAACCTGAAGGACAAAATACCTCACAAGGAAAACTGACACATCTGCCTCATTGGCAAGGTCAGAGACATTTCTTTAGAGATGGGACCCAGTCTGGGGTTTGGACTGCTGGAGTAGCCTTGGTGCATGACAGTGGGATTGCATAACCAATTCCTAGTAAAAGAGCACTTGGTTCACCAGGTGTGGCTGGGACTTTCTTCCCGTTTTACCAGCAATCCCTTCATGTTTGTCCTTCACCAGCCACAGTGTCCAGGTTTCTAATCTTGTCCTTCCCAGCCCCAGCACTCCTACATACAGCAGCACACTGAGCTGAGCAGGAAGACAGCTGAACTCATCTTTGCTAAGAGAATCACTTGTACCTGCTGCAACCTCAACTTTAATCCATCCAGGTGCCAGAATGGGGCATTGCTGGCATTTTCATCCCGTGGGTATCTGCTAGAGCAGCTTTCAAGGATTCTGTTCTTGATTCTGGGATTGCCTATCCTGTGCTTGCAGGCTATCCAGTGAGCCCCAAAGATGAGGAGTACGTGCTGGTCAATAATAAGTGTCAGTGTGTAACAGTGACCTCCAAGTTTGTGCCCTCTGAAGAAAATCCCGATGAAGAAATCCTGGTGAGAAACATCCGCATCATGTAAGTGACAGCCAAGAATTTCACAGCAATGCTGAGCAGGAGATGCAGTGTTGTACCAGTTTTCTCTGTATTGTTTCTCATGTCCCAGCACTGATGAAGTGAACAGCTTGTCACGTGGGCTGCTTTCTGTGGTATCCTGACTATTTCATTTTGCTAAGTGCTTTTCTGCCTCACATGAAGCCCTCTGGTGTTTGTCCCTTCAGACACAAAAAGCATCTTCATGTTTTAGGCAGACCAGTACTAACTTAACAGAATAGGCTGGGGAGGTAGATAATGACCTGTCAAAAGTCGATCTAACCTGAAACCAGATTGGGCCCATGACACTGGATTGATTTCCTGACCTGACAGAAAGCCTGGAAAAATAGTTAATGCCTAAACTGTCTCCCATGAGACAGAGCTCAGTTCAAGGGCAAGACTGTCCTGCCCTCTCCACTCACACAAATGTACCAGAAGTGTGTGTGTCTCTGGGAAACAAGGACCACCTCCAGCCCCAGAGCTGCAGGAGTACTGTAGAGCTCATGGCACGAGAACCACTAATTACACATCTCTGTGCATCAGCCTCCCTGTCACCTTGCAAGTGGCCCTTACATCAGTTGCTGCAGTGCTCTCGGGGAGGGTTGTTGCCTTTGAGGGTGCAGAGGATCAAGATCTCCTATTCCTGGGATTTGATTTGGAGAAGGGACAGAATGAACAAAACCTGAAGAAGATGAGAGTTGAGAATTGCTCACAACAGAGCAGACTCTGTTTAATAAGCAGTTTTCATGAGAGTGCCTCTGTTCCCACCTTTGCAGGGTCCCTCTGAAGGCTCGGGAGAACATCTCTGACCCCCTGTCCCCGCTCAGGACCACTTTTCGCTATCGCATGAGTGACCTGTAAGTAGTTTTATTTCCTAACTTCACTTTCCTAGACTTAACCCACAGCAGTTCTAAAAGATGCCTGAGGGCCAGATGTTCCCTTGGAACACCTAGAAAGGGCACAGCTCTCTCCTGGCTCTACGTGCAGATGAGCAAGAAAGATTTGGGGTTGAACTGATGCCTGGAAAGGCTGAGCTGGAACAGAGACTAGGCAGAGCAAAAGGAATAAAATAGGAAAATTTATTGAAAGTATTCACCTTGGGCAGTGCAAGAGCCTGGCCAGGGCTACACACAAATCAAATCCGAGATGGATCCCAGTCACAAGTTTTTACACTTTTGTAAGTTTTGCTTCATCTACATATTGGGGTTAATTATCCAACCACAGCCCCAGGCTAAGAAGTCTCAGCCCCCTGGCTTGCTCCCTTCCCTTAGCTGTCGTTCCTGCTTTTTGGGTAGTGGTGTCCTTGATTCTCTACCCCGTAAAGAGAACTTACTAACATCTAATATGAAGTTTCTGTTCCTCACCAAGCAGCAGAGAATCTGAAAAATATAAAAGCTAAAACCCAAGGCATCATTTCCCCTCAAGGCATCACAGCAGGAGTATCTTTTCATCTAACTCCTCACACTTGCTCTACTTTCCATCTCTTCCAGCTGCAAAAATTGTGAACCCATGGAAATTGAGCTGGGTGGGGAGATCCACCAGGTCCAGCAGGGTAACTCGTGCGAGGAGCCGCAGACCTGCTACACCTATAACAGGAACGAGTGCTACACCTCCCCCGTGCCGCTGCTGTACCACGGGGAGGTGAGGCACGTCCCAGCAGCTCTGACTCCCGACTCCTGCTTCGCACAGTAGCTCTGCTCTCTGCTGTGCCTGAGCCCTGCAGCGCCCCCGTTCCTATCCAAATCTATGTAGAGCAGCACAGGACCTGGATGACAGCACCCAAATGCCAGCTCCTACAGTAACCCAACCTGTCTCTTCCCATTTGCAACCTCAGACTCGCGCCATCTCCCAGGAGCAGCTCCTGGCTGTCCATGTCCCTTCTCATGTCCCTGGCAATGCCATGCCGTGTCTCAGACCACAGAGAGCAGATCCCCAGCACATCTAAGGCAGTCATTCCCCCAAGTCCAGGGAACTATCCTGATTTCCAGCTCTGGGGAAGTTGTTCTTTGCAGTCTCCTGCATGTCTCCCCAGCAAGGCTGCCACAGACATCAGGAGTGTCTGTGCCCTTCCCTCCCTGAGCAATCTAAAGTGACCTCTGCACAATCTTCATACAAAGCCTTTGATGACATTAGCAGCATTTATGCCCTTAGAAGAGAGTTGTAAAACCACAGCTATGAGAAAAGATGACAGACCCTTCTAGCACTTGGACATCTGCAAGCTTCCAGCAAGTTCTCCCAGATACAGAGAAGATCAAAAGACTCGTCTACCCTGAAGTGTTTTGCAAAGCTGCCAAGCCCTCAGCTGTGCCAGGAATACTCAACTCTTCTGGGATATGTTGGACATTTCACTTTCCCTACTGTTTCACTGATATTGCTGCCTTCTTCCACCCCTGCTCTTGGTTCAAGTGCTGAAAAAAAAAAAATCAAGTTGGCTCAAATTTCTTTTCTTGTTCCTCATCCCGCATTTAAAACCTCGGAAATTCTATGAAGGCAATATAAACTGCTAGAGCAGTTCCTAATTCATGGTTCAGAACTGGAGATATGAAACAGCAAAAACCTTATTCCCACAATTGTAGTTTTGTTAGTGAAATATTCAATAAACTTTTTTCTGCATCAGTCTGTGTGTTCTATTCAAATTCAATATGAAGGCAAAAAAAGAAGCCAAACCTATAATCACATTCTTTTCTCTTTCACAGTTAATCAAACTCTCCCTAAATAACTGCTTATATTTACAGGCAAAGTCTCCCAAAATACCAGAATAGAAATATTTCCATGCACTTGCAGAACCTCTGACAGATTGAGGCTGAACTGCTTTATCATTTTAGGATCAGCTCTGCATCACTGAGCTGATTCCCATCACTGCTTTGATTCCCAATCAGTGCAGGATCAGAGTCTCAAAATCCCAACATCACTTAAATTAACTCTTGAAACTGCAATCCACACATCAGAAGTTTTCATTACCCCTGAATAAAATACTTCTGGAATAGGTGATGTGGGGGATACTCTTTCATGTGAAAGGTGTCTGTCCTAAAGAATAAAATCTTATGGGGCCATATTTTGAAGAGCAAAGGTATAAAAAAGGATTGACGTGAATAATTCTGATGTTATATCAGAGTTATGAAAAACAAACTTGTAAAAATATAATTCCCCCCCCCCTCCATGCAAAAATCAGCCAATTCAAAGAAATGCCAAGAGCAAAGAGCCTCTTGAGAGCCCAAGTATTGCAGTGGGCATGTATAACTCACCAAAATTTCTCTTAAAGACATTCTCATCTTCATTTGGACTTAGAGACTTTTTTTTTAAGGAAAACAGCATTGACCCTGTTCTGTTTTGAATTTCTGTTATGAAATTACAAGTATTAAGTTCAGAAATACAAATCTCCTATAGCCATTAAGGGTCAGGCATTGATGTGGAGTTTAAATGAAATGTTGGCAATCAAGTACATTAAATGTGCTCAAGTAAAACTTCCCAGATATGATAAAAACTCCAACTCTACGGCTCTTGATGGGATAAAAACTTCTGACCTGTGGATTGCAGCATGAAAAAAAGAGAGCCAAGAGCTGCCCATCTCCAAATTCCCAGCCTAACATCCCATGCAATTCTGCCCCATCCATGAACTCTGCAGCCCCATCTGCTGCTAAACTGATTGAAAAAATATAGAAATACAGTGCACAGAAACACCTTAGTGCCCTCAAAGCAACTTGAGTAACAGCTTGCCCTTCTTCTCAGTTTCTAATAGAATCTAATTTACCTTAAGAACAAAACCCAGTCTTTCAAGATTGAGTGTGTTGGTTCCCTATTTTGCTTTTTTTAAAGCATGTTTAACCCATGTATCAATTATGCAACAAAAGAAAAACCTTCCAATACATTGTCATAGAAAAAGTCCCTACAATAGGTAATAATTCCATACTGGAAAATAATTACTTAAAAATTAAGGAAAATCTCCAAACTTATATCTATCTATCTATCTATCTATCTATCTATCTATCTATCTATCTATCTATCTATCCTTTATAATCCAAACTACAGCCATATCCGTGATTAGAAGCTTTGAATAGAAACAAAAAAGAATGTTTTAAAGAAAAAATCCAGCTCTTCTTTGGCGCTTAAATAAAATGCAAAAAAACCAGTTGGTTTCTCATCCTCAGAAAAGAAAAAATAAAGCTTAAAAAACACTCATAAACATAAAAAAAATTGCAAGCATAAAAACTTACCTTTTATTCCATACTGCAACCACCAGTAGTTTTTATAAATTCCTTGCTTAACACGTTAGTTAAGCAAATATAATAAAATGTGTTACTTAGCTGCCAAAGTGACATAAGAAGTCCAAGTGACAGGTTTTCCCCACCTATTAGCAATTAGGCTCCCTGACACAAGGCCATCATCCCCACACCAGAAGCAGCTGCTGTTCTCCAGGTGAATGTAAGCAATCCTGGCCCAGTGAGCAATGAAAATCATAGCAATCAGTGAGCAGGGACAACAGGCTTGGGGTACAAATGCTCACACCAGGGCCCCAGTTATTTCTCTGGGGAATAATAAAGATGGTGCTAAGGGGCTCTTGGTTTGTTTATTCAATAAAAAGTGTTTGCTTTGTGCTTTTTTTAAAGATGCTGGTTGCAAGTCAGATTAACTATGAAAGGTAGTTTTGTGAATTCCTGTAGTACAGGAGTTAGGCTATACTTTTATAGGGATCTAACTTTTCTGGCTTTCTCAGTAAAACCTTTGATAAAAGGCCCATAAAGTTGGATTTTTTTCATTAAAGGGCACTATAGGGAATATTCTTTTATGTGCTAGTTGTTTAATAATGTGTCTTTTACTATTAAATGTAAATTTAATAATAAATAATTTATTTAATAATAAAGAAATGTAATAATAAATGTAACTAACTTGTTTAGGAAGATGTTTTTTTTAATGCTGTATTTGAATGTATTGAAACAGAATTGGTTTGTTTGTCTGTCCTTGTTAATAGCCTTCCTCCTGCAGAGCTGATAAATATTTAGTGCTTTACTCTGGAGTGTGTATAAGGCTGTTTGGCTCCATGCCTTTCTGAAGCATGTGGGTGTTCCTCACTTGAAGTGCAGACATTTTGCTCTAGCTAGTCAGTGTTGGAGTAGTTTAGTGTGAAGCTGAGCTCTTTCTCTGCTTTTTAGGTTGAATAAGCATGTGTAGTGATGTTTTGGTTTTGCTAACTTTGAGCTACAGGCCCTGAAATACAAAGGAACCATGGAGGGTGCAGGATTGAGTGGGTTCCTTGGCTGGGTCATTTAAGTGCTCAATGAAGTAAAGCTGACTGAAACTAGATGCTAAGGAACCAAATTCATAGCTGGCAAGGTCAATGTATTAAACGTTAATTGTTTTGGTGCTGGAGGGCTTGCAGTTGTTCTATGCACTTCACAGGTTTTTCTCTTACCTTTGCAGTCATGCTAAGGTCTCTTTTTGTGAGTTTTGTAGATATGTAAAGGGGATGTGCTCTTCTTGTTTCAAGAGAGAGAGGGCAGCCCAAACTCACCTGAGCTGGTACATTCAGGTTGCCACTGGTAACCCACTAGCAGGTGTGTGCTAAGGAGGCTCTAGCTGGCTCTGAGATGATTACCAACAGAGCAAAAAGCTTTTCAGTGACAGAAGTGTTGGTGACCTAAATGAGAAGTTGTATTAATGGTTCTGGACTGTACCATGTTTAAGCCTTGATACTATTCTGATAGATGTTGTCTGGCTTGAACATAAGAGCATTTATTGGACAGGAATTAATCAGTGCTATTTGTTAAGTACACTGCATGAAGGAATGTCAGTTTTTTTACAGTGTAAAGAAGCAGTTGCCTGCAAGAAGTACAAGCTGTGGAAATGAAGAGGTCAGCTTTCTCTTCTCTTGATCAAAAGCTAAACTTAACAAAGACTAAACTAGAATTCCCTTCTACCGCTGAGCACTTCTGTAGTGATTATTTGAGCTGTAGTGTGAAGCGTACATCAGAGCACAGAGCCAGCGCTCTGCTGGAGTGCCTCGAGCGGTGCCCGGGGAGGCCGCGGCGGAGCAGAGGCGCTCGAGGCCGTGTCCCGCTCCGTGTTTAACGCCAGCCTCAGGCCCGAGGGAAGCGATCGCGGCAGTGCCCGGGGAGGCTGCGCTCGGGGCCGTGTCCCGCTCCGCGTTTAAGCCCGCGGGAAGCGATCCCAGCCCGGAGCCGCTTCTCCCTGCTGACAGCTCCCGCCGCCGGGAGGCGCTGAGCGAAGCGCGCCTCTCGCACAGGTTTGTCCCTCGGCGGCGGCCGTCGGGGACGGGGCGGGCCAATATGGCGGCGGCCAGCTGAATCCTCGCGTGGTGCTCTCCCGGTGCCGGTGCCTGTAGCCATGTCGGGCCGCCAGGGCAACAAACTGCCCAGCAACCTGCCCCAGCTGCAGAACCTCATCAAGCGAGACCCCACCTCCTACACCGAGGAGGTGCGCACCGGGAGAGTGGTTGGGGCGGGCTGCGGGACGGGCACGGCGGTACGGGCGGGTGTTGCTCAGCTGCCGCTGTTCTCTGTGTGCACAGTTCCTGCAGCAGTACCACCACTACCAGTCCCATGTGGAGATCTTCACCTTCCAGCCGGACAAGCCCAGTAAGGAGCTGGCCGAACTGCTGCTGTTCCTGGCGCAGGTGAGCCCCTGGGCCCCAGCCCTGCTGGGAACCGGCCTCAGTGACAATTACCGATGTACAGATAATTAAACCGACTGCTTCCGTGCCCCTTACCAGGCCCTTGACGTAAGCCCAGGTGTGCTCTAGAGCCTTCTCTTGCCCTGTCCATTGCAGGTGGCCCACTGCTACCCCGAGCACATGGCCAGCTTCCCGCAGCAGCTGAAGGAGCTGCTCGCCTACCACCACACGGTCCTGGACCCCGACCTGCGCATGGTGAGACCCGCCTTGGGCTCCCCCAGCCTTTTGTGTGAGCTGAGAGCTTGTGGTTTGCTTGTCAGTAAAGGGGAGCTGCAGAGCAATGTGAAATTTGGCTTCTCTTACAGACCTTCTGTAAGGCTCTGATCCTGCTGAGAAACAAGAATCTAATAAATCCCACGAGTTTGCTGGAGCTCTTCTTTCAGCTGCTGCGGTGTCATGATAAATTGCTACGAAAGGTAAGGTGTGCTGACAAAAATCTGCATCTCCAGTGCGTTTTGAGCAAATTCCCAGAGGTCATGCCAGAATAGGCAGCTATTCTGCTTGGTTGGGAAAATAGAGTTGACAGCAGCAGAATTCAGTTACTAGTCCAACACAGAGTTAGAGCCCTGTCTCCAGCACTGACTGTTGAAACAGCTGAGCTATTTTAAACACCTTGCTCTTGCAGGTTGTAGCCTTGCCCGGTTTGGGATTGAGCAGTTTGGTTGTGTCTGCAGGTGAAAAACCTGGCTGTCAGAACAGGCCTGAATGAAGCAGGGGCAGGATTTATGCAGTATTTGATGCTGTTTGTTGTCCTGTCTTGCTGTACTGTAAATTCAGTATGGTTTTCAAATAGATGAGTCTTCAGAGGATGCTTTCCTGTTCTTTTTCCTGCTGTAACTCAATGATGTACCCAGAGGTGATGAGCTGGGCACAGGGTTCCCTCTGTGTGTGTCACTCCTGTCATCTGTCCTCTTGCAGACCTTGTACA